TTGTATTGAAATATTTTATGGAAATATTATATATGAAGTTAATATTTTTATTAGCTCTATCTGGTATTCTTCATTCATAATATTGTAAAGCAGATCCCACAAATAAACACTTCACACATAGCATTGTTGTTTACGAAGAACTATTACAACTTGAGACAAATTTGATATTGACTATTGAAGTGTATTCAAGTGATATAGGAAGCTTGAAGAATATGTAATCCCTACGTAATATCCCTTGTAGGTGTCTTTCTCTAGCATCTTAGTATTAAAAAAACTGTTTAAGTTAACTCATATTCAACTACAAATTTGTATCAAATTTACAATCCAGACTCTTTCTATTTGGTCAAAGATTTACAGTTAGTTATCAAATGGTAAATGATGTAAATAATATTAAAACAAATTTTATTTATATTTGATTAGGTAGATTTTGATTGCAATGTTCTAAGTTATTATTTTTTTTTCAGGGCTAACAATGAGGCAACTATTTTCTAATAGTTTCAAAACTTGGACCGCCGTAGCCTATATGAACTGGGGCCTTATCACTGGCCTCTTGTCAACATGAGTGAACGAAGTGAAAGAAGTAAGTTCCTTGGTAAACAGAAACAACGTTTCCATGAAGCCAGCTTTGACCATAAGTTGCCCAGGCCGCCAGTGCCTGGAGAAGAAAGAAGCCATTTTATGTCTGACTGGGACCCCTCCCCCTCACAGATTGACTGGATTAAACACAAGTCTTCCTCACCACCGCCTAGGAAATTCTATAATACTAATGGTAAGCAAGTTATTTATTATGTTCGTTATAATGGAAGTTGTCTTTCATTTTTAATTTGTAATATTATTTAAAAGATTATCATTTTAACCTGTTTAAGGTTCTTTTCAATAATATACACACAGTTAATCATAAATAATACTTGAATTATCTAATATGAGGTAACTAAAAACCTTGAGTTAACCAAATAAGTAACTTTGTTTGTAGAGTGCAGTAATCTCAGATATTGATTTACAGTTATAACCTATTTAATAGCATATATTGTTCATTTTCTTATTTTGTCAAAGTATTGAATGACACAATGGTACATGAGGTTTCTTTATTGGAGGAATGTTCTTTCTAATAAATGTAGAAGTAAATATCGTGATTTCTTTTAAGATATTATATATTTTTTTGTAGAATCACCCCCAGCCCCATGCGGATATGAACCTGAAGGCAGTTGCCGCTCCAATTCTCGTTCCTCTTCCAAAAACGGCACTTCCTGCGACAATTCTCCACCACCCGCATGCCTCAAATGGGCCAATTCCTTGCACTCGTTGCTGCAGGATCCCGACGGAGTCAAACTCTTCCATCTGTACCTCGAATCGGAAGGACAGCACCATGCCGACGCCTTGGACTTCTGGTTCGCTTGCGAAGGGCTTCGGAAACAGACTGCTAGAGAAAAAATACATCAGTTGGTTAAAGTTATTTATAAGTAAGTTTGTTTTTATTCACTTTATATCATTTTTTCACCATTAAAAATAATAGTAGGCATATGTTAGGTTTATTCAAACACAAAGAAAAATCGTCACGTAATGGTCACGCGAGACAACAGAAGCAACAGAAACAAGAAATAAGTGAAGTGGGTGTAAGTAGTTCAGCAAATTTAAACTTAAGTAAGAAAAGGAAATCATTTGGCCGCATATTTGATGTAACTAAAAACTTAGATTACAAAGCCATGTTCTAGGGCCTGACTGTCACTGTAAAAGATTGCAATGTTTTCAAAATGTTCTGAAAGCTGTAGGAACAGTATTTTGAAGCAATTTAATTTAATGTGTTCTGTTGATGAACAAAACTATATTTATGTGGTCTAATTACCATACAACAAATTCAAAACCGACGTTCACGTCAAATGGAAAAGAACGCTAAATTTAAAGATGCCGTATATGGTTATAGAGTAAGGTTTATAAATGATGAGAATATAGTAAAGGAAGTTCAGGTTTGCTTTAAAGTTTTTATGGCCATCCATGGTATTATAACCAAGAAAAAGTTGGAGGTCCTTCAAAAATATTTAAAAGAATTTAGCATGTTTCCAAGAGATCAAAGAGGAGAGCATTTTTGAAGACCTAGGAAACTCTCCAAAGAACAAAGAGAAGCAGTTTCTTCTTACGGTGCCTATCCGTTCCGGATGTTGGCGATCAACATGGCTATCCTAACTTTGAAGAAGAAGAGAAGCAGTATCGAACCACATTAGTTCGTTTAAAGGCAGAAAAGGCATTACAATTGGCAGAATCTTCCAAAATATACTTACCAGAGAAGCTAACTATTAATAAAATGCACAAAATGTATATTGAAAAATATCCACATTTAAAAGTATTACGAAACTTACAGAACAATTTATCAATCAAATTTAATTAACCAACAAGCTAAAGTAGAGCAGGCCAAATGAATGGATGGAGATTTTTCGTCAAGCCAGAGCGAAACCTCCTTTTAATGTAATAGATGTGGATCGGCTGCTATTTAGAAAATGGTCAAACGACCTGAACAAAACTTACACCAAGAAGTGTCCCTTTAAAACTAGACCTCTCCGAGAAGCAAGAGTGTAAAATCGCACCTCGTTTTATTTATTACCGAAATTCATATAATGGTCTTTTTGAGTCTGCAGTAATTGCAAACCGTCGTCCAATATCAAAGTACTCTAACTTGCAAGACAATAAGTTCGAACTACCAGACTATCTTTATGAAGGTATGAAATAGTACCTAATAAATTAATGTAGTAGTATTGGGAACTAAGTATTCTGTTTGTAGGTTTGATTCCTATTTCAAAGGCAAAGTTTAATGACGTTGGGCACCTGTCTAGATTTTGCACAAAGAATTCGGAAGAGTATTTCAAAGCACTACCACATGTTGAATCATTATTATATGGAATAAGCAAAATTGTATTATCCTTTTATTTTTGTTGCTTTTCTTAAATTAAATTCACTATGCATTAAAACAAGAGACATTCCCCTTGTTAATCAGCGAAAGTGTATTTCTTAGGTTTTTTTATAGTGTGGCGTTCTACCGCTATCCAAATTATGTACATGAAAATTTTTAAACTACAGTGTAAACATACCAAACATATGATTAAAAAAAAATACCATATAACAACATAATATATCATTAAAATAAGTCTTATAACTTTGAAAATGCTTTTCTGGAAAATTAAACAAAAGTGATATTCCCCCTTTTTCCCCTCTACTCTTCAATTTAATAAATTTTTTGGAACTTTTGAAAACAAAAGTCTTCAGTATTTTTTTGATGAATTCAGAAAAAATTCAAAAATTAATTTTACAGACAATCCAATCCAGTTGTACATCAAAAAACGGTATACAACAAAACCTAAAAACCTTGCGCGATATTTTTATGTCTAATATAGCAGCTGATCTAGATAAAGACAGGTATAGATAGATAGAGAATGTAAGAGATATGCCATTTATTATTCGTCTCGCGAAGCGCTTTGAAAGGTCCTTTGATATCGCCGCTGATTGACAGCTAATTCGCACCAATATTTACTCAATCAATCAGATAAAACGTAGGTATGTGACAGCTACGCGAAATGTACATAGGATTTTTTTATTTCATGGATTTTATCGGGAAGATACCAAAACCCTATATATCCATAGGTCGTCCCTATTAGCTATCGTGGAACATGACGTGTCGGTTATCTGAACTTTCTTACCCAGTCACCCAGTCTGTTCTGTGTTGAGTGGAAGCAAAGTCAAAGTCCCAGACGGACACGGTACTGGTGGTGACTAGTGTTTTTATTTAAATAAAGCTCAGTAGTGTGTGCTACAAAACATTTAAAATGTTATTAACAAATACTGTTACTACAAATTAACAAATAAATTGTAAGTTCACCTTTCCATAGTACCAGATCACAAAAGTCATCCACATAACAGAACCAATACAATGACTGTTTATCTGCTATTAGTTGTAAAGCTTTGAATTTGTCCATAAAAAAATTTACAATAACCAGGCTCAATGGATTGAAATCCGCTGTCCCATTGGAAATATATTGGAGTAAGGCAGTGATAGATTTAAATTAGCACGCCTTCGATGGATAGGACATGTAATTAAGCGAGATGAAGATGCAACGATCAGAAAAATTTTCGACCGAAGAGGACCAGTGGGAAGACGATCCAGAGAAAGACCAAAACTTAGGTATCAAGATAACATAGAGGATGATCTAAAATCTATCGGAGTTAAAGCATGGAGAAGAGTTGCCAGAGACAGGGGCGAATGGAAGATTGTTCTGAAGAAGGCTTTGGCTCATGACGAGCTGTGATGCCACTGATGATGATGAAGGCAGTGATTAAAATGGGTTGTGATGTTTTCTGGAAATTGTTGAATAATGTCAAAATTTACGTGTTTGATTGCTCTCTTTTTCAAAGACGTGGTATTGCTTTTAGGTCTTTAAGCTCGTTGTATTATTTGTGAGATTTACATCCAGATTTAATTAATAAGTACACAGAACGACAACACGAAGAACTTAATAAAATTGTATTATTTGTTTTATTTTATAATGATACATTGCTTCTTAAAAACTTTTATTCTTCTAGACATGTACAAATCAATCAATAATATCAATATATTACTTTTCAGGAAATTTTTCGTTAAATCCGCTCTTCCAATTGACGACGAGTTGAGGAAAGAAATAGGAAAAAATATTAAATCTTCCCAGTGCCTTGAGCCTCCCGTAATGTTGTTCGATAAAGCACAGGCCATTGTTGAAAAGCTTATCGATGAAACGACTTACCCCAACTTCCTTAAAAGTGATATGTACCTGCAATATTTAGAGGTAAGAAAATTATTTCTTGTTGTTGACCATTGTTCTTAACCATTGGCTGTCAATCAAGCGACTAGCGATAATCCAAAACAGTCACAAATTCGTGAAATATACTTTTTTGGTTACAATCATCTCTAGTTTATTCTACTTACCATTGTCAAATACTTTCCATTACAGAATATTCAAAATCTTAGTAGCAGTAGTAGTGATTTTGGTAACGAATTTACCAATTTGGCAAATGGACCTGATCCACTACCGACATTACATGAAGATATGGAACTGATTATGAATCCTCCTGTACATTTAAGTCATGTGTCTGGTAAGTACCACTGAAAAATAAAAAATAATAAAAAGCTAACGTTTTCTAATGTTTATTTCAAAATTTATTTCAAATTTTTATTCCTAATGTATTCCAACATTTTAGAATCATGACAATATATATTTATTTTAATAAAAATGTTTTTAATTATTTTAGTTACAATTATTGCACATTCAAAGATCACTTATTATGTTTTAGGTACCGCTAGTGTAAGTACGGGTTACCATACTCCAAATATTACTGTTGGTGCTCCACCTGTCCGCCTTACGAAAGATCTTTTACTAATCTCTCAGAAACACAGAGCAGTGGATTCTAGGACGAAGTCTGAAACGTTTGCTAGGTAAGTTTTTTGATGTTGCACTGTCGCTTTTGAGGCTTGCTCCCTTAGCGATGATCACTAGTCATTTTCCTTTTATTTTTGTTAATATCATTTTCAAACGAAAGTTGTATGTTTATAGCGATAAGTTCTAAGCAATCCTTACTCAACATATAGTTGACAATGTAACTCACGAGATATTAATTAAGAGCGTAGTAGAACTATTAAATATTTGTGAAAAATTTAAACGCAGATTGAAAGATTACATTATTATCGAGGGCCGAAAGTCCCTTAGATTAAACAAAAAGTTTTTTTAATGAGATATTTGAAATTAAAAATCATAATTAATTTTCTCTTTTTTTTTTCACCCTTTTAACTTACTAAAATAAATATTATAGAAGTTTTCAGGGACTTTCGGCCCTCAGTAATATTGCAGTATTTCATTCTGCGTTTAAATTTTTCAAAAATACTTATTAGTTTTCTCAGGATTCGAAAAAACTGAATGCATTTAAAAAGCATTGGCCCGAAATTTTGCGCCTACGCTCTTAACTATAAAATAATCTTTTGTGCTACATAAATAACTGAAAGAAATCACATTATCGCACATTATCAACGCCATTATCATACAGAACACACAAGAAAAATAATTCATACAGTCATTTATTTATGTTTCACACTTATTTATTCAGAAAAGATGCAAAAAAATATGTAGAAGAAAAAGGAGAGAAATGTTAAATAGAAAAAAAAAACAAATTACAGATTATAATAACAGAAGAGAGACTAGAAAATTTTACAAGGAAACGTTTGCAAGGACAAAAATGGGACAATTATCACGAGAAAGAGGAAATCTCCCTTTACAACTCCCTTCACAACTCCCTTCGTAAAGGTACACAGGCGTGAATCCGTGCCGGAAAAAGTCGACCTTCCTTTTTATACTCCGTAAAGGACCATAAAATATTCAACATTAAGATATGTCAGGTATATTGACAAAGAAAAATCAAATTAAATAATTTTTTTTAGAGTATGTATAATATTAATACAGGGAAATGTAGAAAGTTAATCTTGACTGGTATTGTACTTTGATTTTTGTTTATTTAAATACTTTTTCTCTCCTACTCGTGAATACGATTCAGCGCAATTTGGAGGACGAAATGTTATATAAGCTCTAGCTAAGCTAAAAACTGGAACTGAAATATTATTGTAAAATATTTAGAATATAAAAAATGCATTTTATAGACCAAGATACATCCTATTTACATACAACTTTCATATCACCTTTATTGTATTTATTTTTGATTTTGTTTGGATTTGCGTGTGATTGTGTAGTATGATCATGAACCGTGGATTGAGTGGATCTGGAGCTCACGCAGCCTATAATTCCTATAACCCTGTCTCAAGGCAAGATAGCGAACTGCACTCTCTCAGTAGCCATTCTGACGCTCGGACGGAATCTGACAATATGTCAATGACTGATAGTTCAGTGTAAGTATTAAAACGAACCGAATTACAATGGTTTTTGGGAAAACTAAATTAATAAGGGCAAAAGCAAGTTTAAAATTATACGAATTTGTATTAAATGAAATTTATATTAGAAATGCGAGAAGTTTAATAAGCTAGAACAATGAATTATAATGTTTTTTCGAGAAAACTTTTAAGAAAATCCATGATACATTCTTCTTGTTGTGCCTATCCGTTACGAATGTTGGCAATCATCATGGCAATCTTTATCGTATCTGCAGCAGCGAGGAAAAACTGCACAGATGTTGTATTGAACCAGATTCTGAGGTTCTTTAACGAAGATGATCTTCTTCCTGGACCTCGCTTTCCAAATATTTTTTCTTGCAGGAATAGCTTGAAGGAGAGTATGTCTGGATTCATTTCGCATAATATGTCCGAAGAATTGTAACTTTCTAAATTTGATGGTGGTCACTACCTCTCGGTTCTTATTCATTCTTCTGAGGACCTCCTTATTTGTGACTCAGTCAGTCCTCGGGATCTTAAGTATTCTCCGATATAGCCACATCTCAAATGCTTCCAGTTTTCCGTTCAAGGTTCATGATTCAACACCATAAAAAAGGATAGAGAAGACGTAGCTTCGCAGCATTCTTACTTTGTATCAAAAGAGAAGTTGTGACTGGCTAATTATCATAAGCTTTGCCTTCTTAACGTTTATATTGAGTCCATATTGTTGACTGTAATACGTGATTTTGTTCATAAGAACTTGTAGGTCTTCTAAGTTCTCTGCAAATATTATGGTATCATCTGCATATCTGATGTTGTTTAGCCGGTAACCATTTAGTAGAATCCCTTTTTCAGTTTCCTGCAAAGTTCGATAAATATTTTTTCAGTGTACAGATTAAAGATGAGACGAGACAAAATACAGCCTTGCCTTACTCCACGCATGATTTTCATATAGTCAACGTGTTCACCTTCAACGAGATTTGCTGTCTGATTCCAGTAAAGATATCTAATTATTTTCAGATCTTGGTTGTTAATTCCTGCTTCTTTTGCAATAAACTCAGATTTCAGCCATTCTGTTGGTATTTCTCCAGAGTTGTATATGTTATTGAATATCTTGATATTCAATTACATATACAACTCTGGAGAATCCTGATTCGTTGTCCATTAACTTGGGTAGTTCTGCTTGTATATTATCAGGGCCTGCCGCCTTGCCATCCTTTAACTGTGTTATTGCGGAATAAACGTCCTACTGTAATATTCTTGGTCCATCATTTACCTCTTCTTCTAGCTCAAAGGTGTTATCTGTTTGGTCTTCAAATAGTTTTTCTAGATATTCTTTCCACGTTCTTATTTTACTCTGTTTGTCCAATATGGTGTTTCCGTCAGAATCAGTTATATTTCCTTTCAGCTTTCGTCTTAGTCCTCCTGTGAGTTCTTTTAATTTCCTATGTACATTGTGACTATCGTACCTTGACTGCAGAGTCTCAATTTTTTAGCATCTTTCCGTTGATACAGTGCCAGTCCACACATTGCAGCCTTTTGCTGCTGTGTGCAAGATATATTGTATCGTCTGCATATCGGAGATGATTTACTAGTGTTCCGTTAATTGCCATGCATTCATTTAGTGCCCCTGTAAACATCTCTGCTGTGCATATATTAAAAAGTAGAATGGATAGTACACATCCATGTCGTACTCCTGCTCTTATAGATCTCTTTAGATTTTTGTTGGTCTACTCGTATTATGGCTTTTTGATAATTTCGGTATAAATTTGTAATTGTTCTAACATCCTGATAATCTATTTATGTGTTCCATAATATGTTTGCCAGCCTTTTGTGTTCTATAGTAAATAATGTCTTTCTAGTGCCAAAACATTTCTAAATTACAGTTGGTTTCCTGTTGTTCTATCGTCTAGTTTTTTATAGACACGTTCATGTATCACTAGCAAGAAGAGTTTTACAACATGTTTCATCAAGTTGATCGTTCTATATTTTTCACGTTTCATTGCATTGGATTTTCTGGGTATTGGGAGGAACTGAAATGAATTGGTATGGTAGTTTTCATTGAATAATTCTACCAGTATTATGTCAATGTGATTTTCTGTTAGTAGTCTTAATATTTCTGTAGGTATATCATATGTCTCCATGTTTATCATCTCTTACACGTTTTGTATACCGTCCATTGTTATAAAATTCTGTTATCTCACCTTTTGTGTCTCGTTATTTGATGAGGATCTATTAGTTGGATATCTAGTTCTTTTACGTCTTTCCTGGTATTTTTTATATACCTATTTCGTTTGTTTATATATTGAAATTTTCCAATCAGCATCCTTTCGTTTTTTCGTTTTTAGTAACATGGGCAGATTGATCGCAACTTTCATCTTTACATTGAACAGTGAAGAAAAATATGTGAACTATAGTCTATAGTTCATAATTCAAGCTTATTATATTTTCTGGTAACTTAATTAAGCAAAATAATTATACTGAGTGGAAACACAAGACAGTTATAATCAACATTTAACATAATTTTACTATTAATTTAAATATTTACAAAAGTTTTAATATTCCTATAATTAATCTTGAAAACGTATTAAACTTGTTATAATGTCTTAATTAACATCAATATCTGTATAATTTAAATAATTTAACGATTATTTCAATGGTTATTAGTATTTGAAACTAATTTAGTAGACTAATAGTTTTATTCAATAATTTAAATCATGTGAAAACTTGAACCAGCTTTTTAGAATTTCTTGACAAGATAGAACAAAATAAAATTATTCCAAGAGTTCATAGCTCTAAGGATCTATGTGGGATTAAAAACCAAAGGTGAGTTGTCTTGGAACATCTGATACTGTTTCAATATGATAATGAAATCCAATTTCTTGTCTTTGCCTTTAAATGCCGTCTTTGTTCGGAAGGTTGTTATTTACCAAAGCTATTCGCATTTTATACCATCAAGACCGAGGTCCTAATTAGATGGTTATTAGTGGTCTTGAACCTTTCATGCAGATTTTTCATTACCACTGTGCGGACACGAGCGGCATCGCTGCGCGCCTTAAGATTAACACTACATTCTAACTGTGGCTTCCATTATAGTGTGACGGGTAACTCTTTCGAAGCGACAGACTCAGTAAAACACAGGTTGAAATAAAAATAAATCTATTAATTCTAAGGTATGTACAAAAATAAAAGTAAAATATATTCTGTATCCCCGTCTGGATCCCGCGAGAATGAATTCCCCGGCGGATGTCTGTAAAAGAAAAAAATTATTATTACGTCCGGGTTGGCTCGCAGATTCAATACACTAGCGAGGCAGGGAGCCTAGAGCGTTAGATACAAGACTTATTTAATTCCGCCAGTCGCTCGCTTTAAACAGCCGCTCCGCACCCCACCTCGTCGTCTCGTCGTGGAAATGGATGCGTGATTATCGACACTCCCACGGTTCGAACTGTTGAACGTTCAGCACATCGTTACAATAGGATATTTTGAAACTGTTCTATGGCGTTCTATTCTAGCATTCTAGCCGTATATTTTGGTACTAGATTAGAAAGTTTTCATATGATTTAATTCCTATAATATAGAAATAATATTTTACATTAAAGTGGTCTAACTTATCAACCAATACTACTTTGGAAGGTATGTCGCATGTATGAATTATTGTATGCAATATGCTTCCAATTTGCCTTGTACACTATTTAAGTTTATGAAGAACCTTTAATTTTTTCTTGCATGTTTTATTCTACATTCTATTTAGCATGATTTCTTATGATTACATTGTTTTAATTTTCATAGTTAGTAGCATAGTTTCAACATACATTAAAAAAATACATTAAACAAAATATTGGTCTTACAAAATTTCATGAGCCTGACCACAGCCACCTTTACTTCCAAGCCATGAAGTAAAAAAGGCAACACCGCATTCTATGACGTAGGTAGTCCGATAATCAGCTGTAAGGTCTACCAGAAAATTAAACTAATTTGAATTTTAGGAAACTGATATTTTGAAAACTTCAATTCATATCAGAAATATTTTTAGGGAAATTAAATTAATAAAACTTTATATATACCTAATAAATATATATAAAGTTTTATTATTATTAAGGTTATATTATCAATAAAATAATCATTAGAGTAAAATTTATTGCACTTAAAATACAGTGTCAAACAGTTAATCTTACAATCAAATGCAGTCAAGAATCTCTAAAAATTTTAAATATTAAGTACATATAAATAACACAAAACATTAACACAACATTTAAAAAGATTATTAAAAATACAAAAGATATAAAATTTGTTAAGTAAAAACTTAGTGTAACTATTATGATTAAAAAATTCATCCTTAGAAACCAGAGACAATATAAATATGGTTCTAAATTAATCTAATTGAAAATTAAATATTTTACTATTTACTTATAACTTTTGTTGAATTTTCATACTTAGGTATACGAAAGTAGCAATTTTATGTATGAATAGGTTTTTTGTCATATAGACCAAGTTAAAAGAGGTATACATGAAAAATGTGTTGAATGTAACATACCATTTATAACTTGTATATTGATTTAAAATAGCCTATATTCTCAAAAGATTTTTGAATGTAATACTCAAAGTTGTTATCACTTGTCTAAAAATCAGATCTAATCGAGTAAGTAAGTTCTCTAATTGTGACCATCTTCTTAATTTACTCTATTGTAAAATCTATTTCAAATCATTACTACTTAATCTATTCTTACCTACATTGACGATTACACTAAAATTACTGCTAACTATTACACTACTCATTACACAAATATTATCACACTCGTGTCCCAACTGATTAATTTTTATTACATAGAAATATACACAGTCACTTGTAATTTTACTTGTCCAGTTTTTCAATGGGATATTATTGTATAAGTCTGTTAAAAATGATTCAAATGAATCTATTAAATCATTGTCTAAGAATTCTGTTATCTCTTGTTCCCCCTTCTTATGCAAAAAGTTTCTTCTGTCTTCGGGATTCCTTCTTTCTTTAGTACGATGAACAGTTACATATGATGGTACTTCAGAAAATATATTATTAACTGCATTGTCTTTTAATTTGGGAAATATTAACTGTTCCATGTGTACATTTCCATCTTTATCTTCTCATTGTTCAGTCCGCTGAATATCATCTTCATGAAAATGTTTGGCACATACTACGGAAGATTTGGTAATTGTATAGCCTTCTCTATGAATAGAGCATAACCCAGTATACCTTCTTTGGGGATCTTTGGGAAACGAAAACGTACTTTCTGCCTGTTTCGTTTTTAAACTACTGGCATAATTGGTTTTGCTACCAGGTACACAACAATGCCAGGGTATCTGTAACAAAAAACAAAAGTATTATTATTGTTGTTTTTAGTTTACATATTATTTTGTAACAAGAAGCGAAAGTATTATTATTTTCAGTTTGTTTTGTAGGTTATATTTATACTTGCCTTTTAAATTGTCGTTAAGAATCTTCTAAAAGTTCTAAACTTAATGAAATTTCACATATATTAATATTTTCTAATTGATTTAAACACAATTTACAAATAAAACATTCGAATAAAGTTAAAAAAACACTAAATTCAACAAACTTTACAAGCCTTCCTATATGAAATGTTAAACAAAACAAACCACGGTCGGACTACCACGCGTTGTTGCCAAATTTCTACTTCATGGCTTGGAAGTAAAGGTGTCTGTGGCCTGACTACTCATTTGGTGATGTAAATCTACGAATGAAATATTATAAAATCCAAAATTACTAAAATTTGTCTGCAGTGCGTTTTCATAGAAATAACTAGTGTCAAACTAGTCTTTATTCATGTTTTATTGCAAAATGTTTTTGCGAAATTATTGTCATTTTTAACTTGCATTAAGAATTAATCCGTAAACTAATTTTCGAAACCAAATTCAGATTTCTACTTTAATCTGTCCTTCTAAGAATTGCAAGGCAAAACGGACGTTGATAAAGATGTAATTAGAGAAATGGGGAATCTAAAATTGCATTCCACAACATATCTCCTCAACTAAGCAAAAATCCTTAGCGAATTGGTTTCTTGTTTATTTATCAGATGTCGCTATTGCGTCCAGATTGAAGCCATTTTAGTATTGCTTCTATTATCACAGAAAAGATTATTTTCACGTTCAGAGCGTTTGTGAATAGCCGCTCCGAAGATCCCTTTCAGGTTGAAATACGTATAAGCAGATACACAGACGCAATATACGTGAAATCGAATCTTAACTGCCTTTCCTTTCATTAAGAATTACTTTTAAACTAAGATGAAATATTTTTTCAAGTTGAAAAAGCTAAAATTTTTACACGACCTATTTAACGAATATTTTCTCATTGATGTAACACATTGAAAGAAGATTTCCTTCTACATATTTTTAAAAGATAAATATTTGGCCTACAATTTTATGTAAAGAAGTTTATTTTCTATAAACATATATATTTTAATTCTGATATTATTTTATTTTTATTTTTTTTCAAATCAGTGACGGTAGGTCATCGAGACGGAAAGAAGTATTAGAAGCTAGAAAAATAAGAGAATTGGCAGCCAGAAATAAAGAAACACACATGCAGCAGGTTTTCATACCACGAACACAAAGAGTAGATACAAGACAATGCCGTGCTATGGATATAAACACTTTTGCAGCTATCCTAATTGAAAAATTGGGACCAATTAAGCGAGATCAGGATCAACAGGAACTGCTAGAGAAGAAATTAAAAGAGGTGAGTAAACTTAAGTTTAAAAATAAAGAGACACAATATTGCTTATATGAATGTATCTATAATTATGTAAATCATGAATGTGTTGCTTGTGTGAGTCCATTTCAAATAGGTAAAGAAATAATAAATAAGACTTACTCACAATCAATTTAATTTAACTATCTGACGACCGGTTTCGCTTTCTACAATATGCAAAGCATCCTCAGGTCTCGATACAAAGTTAAACAAATGCTGAAATAATAAAAACCCATATTAGGGTGTTGTCCAATAACGATAAACAAAGTAGATGTTGTAAATTACAATAATTATGCCAATATTACATGTCTGTGGTTTTATTTAAATGAGTTAGTTGAATAAAAGGTATAAAAATTTTAAAAGTTTAAACAGACAAGGTAAGGCCCACAAATTGTTATAAAATAGTCTCTTCGATTGTAATAAATTAACAAATGAGCAAATAAATAAATAAAATAAACATTACTTACATGCCGGTACTCTATTTATTGATGGATGGTAGAACATGGTTGAAACTACTATATATTGTTGAATAGAGAACTCAATTCTATTATTGCAGTTGTTTGACAGTAAACGGGAAGTTCTTGATGAGATAGATTTGATCCAATGAAGAAGAGATATGTGTGTGATTGTTTGTTAAATGAAAGTAATGTAATATATCATTGTGTTATTAAAAGCTATTTATACTTATTCGAGAGATATATTTTTGAAATGTGTGTTATTTATTGAGTAATTGTTTTAAGAAAGAGACAGTTTTATGACAATGAATAAGTTTAGATGTAAAAATTGTGTGGGTGTGCAATTATTTTCCAACCTGTAGTTATCAAATTACTTTGATAAAGTTCTATTGGCAATTAGTAAATTATTGGAAAGTCAAGTGAATAAAATATTAAAATACAAACAATTAAGGACAATGTAAACACACTAAAACAGAAAACACTTAGAAGGGACGAAACAAACATTGAATTTAAAAAAGGGGGAAGGGCTTTAATGCACTACATCATAGTCTTGGGCACAATGAGTTTTTTTATGTTTTATCTATTAGATTTTAGTGGTAAATTTGACAGATGTAGGTTAGCATGTGACAGTTCTTCTTCTGTTTCTCAATACTGTAAGTTAAGTCTAGTTTTATGAAATATGCTGTTATTAATGAATCTCTATCTATAATTCATGGTAAATGGCGATTGCTTTAACTTTAAGGCCCGATTGTACATTGCAGGCTTAAGCGATCGCTTAATTGAACCAGCCTCAAATTTGAGCGTGGGTTCAACTTCATGAGGGTTGTTCAATGGCAAGTTTAGTTAAGCCAAGGCTCATACAAATTTTGATAAGGTTGGCAACGTAACGCATGCGTATTCATATTAAGGTTAAATATCAATTTTTCCGCTAATTTTATATTATTTAGTTTTTGAACGGTTTTTGTGAGTACAAGTCCACTAATAATTCTGTTATTTAATATTAGTTTAATTTAATTAATTAGTTTAATTTTTAATCGTTTCCCTAAGTTAAATTTATGAATAAACGATTTGAATAGGTGCGTAAAGTATATTCTTGCAATATGTTTATTTTCATGTGAAAAATTGTTTTTAGAAGTATATTTTTATATTTATTTGGATTTTTTATTTTATCAGCAATATTTTGATGTAAATAATGAACTGTATCTTTAGATAACCTAAATCTTTGCAAAAATTCATTATCATTCCATTTTTCAAAATGATTCTCTCTGGTCCTAAATTGTTTTTGTGTTCTTCTTCCATCTACAATATTTATCATTTCCAGAAAATCTTCATCGTCAGTTAAATTTTCAAAGTTATTCATTTTTTATAATATAACACTACAGTAACAGATAATTATTAAGCTTTCTATTGACAATTACACACAAATAGAAATATGTGAGGTTAAAAATGCCTGAGCTGACGTTGAACCGTCAAACTTCTATCGCTCAGTAGAACCCATGTTTGAACCGAGCTCAAGAATTAAACTTTAGATGTACAACCCACTTCATGCGTTAAACTCGGTAATGGCGCTGAGCTTGAGTTGAGCTACGAATGTACAACCGGGCCTTAATCACCCATTTCTGATATGTTTTCTGTAGACGTTTAAAATCTGCGTGTTTAAGGGTTTAACTTTGAATTCATTTAAATATATTAAATAATAGTGGCATAAATGTTTTTTTTTTCAATGGAATATGAAGTTATAATAAGTATCGATTGAATACGAGATAATTACCTACTCGCTTTGTTTTAGAATGAATGTATGAGTTCAAAAAGTGATATTCAGTCCGCCATTCGGGAATTGGAAATGGGAGATGATAATGATCCAGAAGATATTCTTGATCAACATCTTTCAAGAGTTCTTTCTGATCGTAATTCTTGCAAATCACCTGGTATGGCTAGTCCTAGGCAATTTTCACCACCACGAACAAGGTAAGCTCCACATTGAATTTCGACGTGTCAAAACCTATTTTTTCAAGAAATTATCAAATTATAGCATAAATGTGATTTTCATTAAAAATTTTCGTTTATATTTTTACTCGTCAAAATTATTTTGGATTAAAAAAACTTGAAAAATGTAAAAGATTAAATCTTTTAGCAAAAGCTGCTATCGCTTTGTTGAAATAAATGGCCAAATATATGGCCTAGAAGGACAAATTCGTTAAACTTCCCGTGCTTGAATCGGTATCAATAGAGGGTTATGACACATTTCGGCATCCCTGCTTCATCAGACACTTGGGCTGATACAAATTCAAACTCGGAAAGTACAACTAATGTCACCTGAAACTTGACCTATTTGTTTCATAAACTGTACTTAAAATAATGCCCAATAAAAGTTGTTGACTAAAAATATCATTTTTAGACTTGTACAAAATTCATATCCTCGTTCAAGAAGGAAAGAGAAGGAAGGTTCCATATACAGTGTAGATTCAGGAAATGTCCATGATTTCACTGATAGTTCGGAACATAAAATGACCATGGTAAAGTCGAAGAGTATGCCAGAATATGCGGATGATAGATTTGTAAGAGCACCGTCAGGAAGAAGGTGGGTATTCTTTATTTGTACTTAATTTATATTGAATGCAAGATGTTTCTATTCAATATTTTCGTATATTTATGTGAAGATTATTTAAAAGTATATGAAAAAGTTGATGATTCGTCTAGGATATCATTATACTCTGCGTTGACAATATTTTTAATAATCATTTCTCTATTTTTTTTACGATATGGCACAGTGTTTCTTCTCTATGTGTATTTAAATATTCGAAAAATTGTATATTTCTATCAATATAACATAAACTACATTTAAAATTTTTTTTCCATACTTCTTTGGACTGAAGGATAGAAAATCATATATTTCTAAAACAACCTTACAAAAAAATGTATCAGTCTCTCCATTTCAGGACTAATTTATTATATTCATATTTTTCTCATCATTCCTCGTATTGTAGGAACATTTTTAAAATCGTTTTTAAATTAATTTAAGTATTTTTCTAAAGAGCTAAATCTTTAAAGTTACTCTAGGAAGATGATATGATTCCTAATTATAATACCTAATCTAAGGCGATCCTTCCCCCTACTAATGATTTTATCTTGTGAATACAATGTATATACTCCCAATCCTTTTAAATACAGGGTGTTTCAAATAAAGGTAACCCCCTCTCTGGGATAGGTAAAAAACTGAAAAATAGTTGGGGTTTGCTTAGTCAAAAATTTTTGTGACCCCATCCATTTTCAAGATACAGGGCGTTGAAGAAAAAAAAATTTACGCATTTTTTACGATTTTGCCGAAACTGCTGGCAACATTGTAATGAAATTTTATACAAATATGTTTTGGAAGCTGATACATCCCATGAATTTGTTTTTATATCTGATTCACATAGAGGGCGCTAGTTACACGGATCGTACTAAGTATTACTCAATATAACTTTTTTAGAGCCGTTGAACGACGTTATCGAGAAACTGGGAATGTGAGAACAAATAAAATAAATTCTGGTAGACCAAGAAAAACAAGAACAATTACTAAAGAAAATAATATTTTAAATTTACTTGATCAAGATCCAACAGTTAGCGTAAGGAATATAGCAAGACAAACAAATACTTCTTCTTCAAGTACTTGGCGGATACTGAAAGAACAGCAATTACATCCTTATCATTACAGACAAGTCCAAGAGCTCTTGCCAGATGATCTACCGGTTAGAGTGGATTTTTGTGAAACATTGCAACAAAGGACAGCCCACAATTCAAATTTTTTTAAATGTATTCTTTTTACGGACGAGGCCATCTTTACGCGACAAGGTATGTTTAACTCCCATAATGCACACTACTGGTGTGATGAGAATCCACGAGTCAAAAGGGTATCATATTACCAACACTCATTTAAAGTTAATGTTTCGGCAGCAACTTTAGGGAACAAATTAATAGGTGTAGGTAACACTACCTGGAAATTTAAATGGTGATATGTATCTTGATTTTTTAAACAATTCCTTATTCGAGATATTAGAAGATTTAACGCTAAACGAGCGAAGATCTTTATTTTTTATGCACGATGGAGCACCACCACACTTTAATAGAAGGTGTCGTAATTGGTTGAGTAATCATTTTCTGAATCGATGGATTGGTAGAGGTGCAGAAGCTCCGATTCATTGGCCTCCTCGGTCATGCGATTTTAAACCTTTAGACTACGCAGTTTGGTCGTATATTAAGGAAAAAGTATATGCTACAGAGGTAAATTCAGGCCAAGAATTGGAAGATAGAATTCAACGTCGATTTAATGACATCATAGTTGATCCCTTACCGTTTAGAATGTTAATGGAATCTTTAGAAAAAAGAATAGACTTGTGTATTCGCGAAAACGGAGGGCATTTTGAACACTTACTGTAATTGAATTTTATTTTATGTTCTTAGTCATTAATTTTTTTCTTCTTGTGAGTTTTGTTTAATTACTAACTATTTTATACCGGCATCAATTATTACTTCATAATTTTCAAATCAAAATATTCCCAAAACGGTACACAGTATCGAGTTTTACCAAGAGTACTTTTTTCGTGTAAAATTAAATGATGTTTAAGTTTACTTGAAATTTTGATTAATAATTATACTCTTAAAAAAGTTATATTGACTAATACTTAGTACGATCCGTGTAACTAGCGCCCTCTATGAGAATCAGCTATAAAAACAAATTTATGGGATGTATCAGCTTCCAAAACATATTCGTATAAAATTTCATTACAATGTTGCCAGTAGTTTCGGCAAAATCGTAAAAAATGCGTAAATTTTTTTTTCTTTAACGCCCTGTATCTTGAAAACGGATGGCGTTACAAATTTTTTTACTAAGCAAACCTCAATTATTTTTCAGTTTTTTACCTACCCTAGAGACGGGGTTACCTTTTTTGAAACACCCTGTATGTATATAATAATGGGGAAACAGTACTCTTTAATGCATCACTTAAAAAAAACCCACATAAACCAAACTCCAAATCCGCTTTCTTAAATATGACCTTAGTGAAGAAGATAAAGTCTTTGTTTAAAAGGGTTTTTTCTTTTGCAGGATGCCCAAGAAACCTCAATCAGAACTCGCCGATAGCGGTGTCTCGGTTGTGTCAGATGCGGCTCCAATGCCTATAAAAGAGAACCGCGTACTAAACTGGCTGCTTGAGTCTGATAAGAGTGGTCGAGGAACTAGTCACACTCACAGCGAAATGTCTATGAAACACCGTAGCCATAGGACTAGCAGCGCCACTTCCCCGAGTGCCGGACGAAGACGGAAAGGATTCGGTTCAAGGTCCAGTTCGTTGGAGAGAAGTAGCGGAAGCGGAATTTTGCCTGCGCAGCCTTTTATTGCCGATCCCAACATGCCCCTATGCCCGTTCCTAACACTGCTTTGCAACTGGAAGAAGCGAGGAGACGATTGTTGGAAGAGGATATTAGAAATAGACCCAAACAGAGGTAAATATAAAACAACTAAGAATTTTTGTACTTGTTGACTATATTTTTTTCGAATATTTTTTTGTTAGTGTTTCTTAACAAAAACAATTGAATTTGTAAACAAAAATTGAATAGCTACAAAACAGCCTCAATGTCATAGATACCAACTTAAAATTTTTTAATTTTTGACATATTGTCAAAAATAAAATTTTGTTTAAAAAATTCTTTCTTGTTTAGTAACAGAAAAGAAGAAGATTTATTGACCATTGATAGATGCCTGAAAAAATGTAACAAATACAAGGAAAATTCAAAATTTTCATCCGTTTTTTCAAAATTGAATTTTCCATGTATTTTTAGCAGCAGACTTTTTATGTTATACGAATAAATTTCGAAAAGAAAATTTGTTAGGAATATTGGATTATGCTGGGGAAAAAAATATATATGTAATATATGAAGCAGTTAATACAGATGAAGAAATGATAAAAGAGTATAGGAAACTTGGATAAGAGTTACCAAAGTAATAATGAATAGAAAAAATAGGAAAAAGGAAAAAAATAATAAAGGCTAGGCAACTAATCAGCTGCTTAAGATATCTAAGAAAAAAACATTGTTGTAGAGACAGGAATAACTAAAGAAGAATCAACAAGAATCTGTGAAATAAATCATAGTCAACATTCAATGTTATACTATTATTTTACAAAAACCGTTATAATTAAATTGTTTATGTCTTTTTCAGGTCGCCTTCAAGTAGATTTTTCTCAGAAATGTCCCATAGCAGCCAATCGACGCTGAGGAAGTCTATGCGAAGTTCTCGACAAGTCACTCTAGGTCAAGTTGGATCTGATGAAGTGACGACCGTTGTGTTCACTTTTTGCGATGAGCAATTTCCTTATAGAACTAAGATACCCGGCACTCAGATTACCTTAAGGCAGTTCAAAGAGTATCTTCCCAAAAAGGGAAATTATAGGTAAGGGAACATTTTTATTAATAAACAAATTTTATATACAGATTCGGCAATATATTAATGTGTGAATGGCAATTAATACTAAAAGCTTTAATTATACTAACTCAGAAAGAGACCTTCTTTCTTTCTTCTTTACTGTAACAAAGGTGTGCTCAAGCAAGAATCTGACGCGACCTAAGCTGGCCCACCGTTAGCATCAGAATGCCTGGCCAAACTCCCTGAATTCACACGGGCGTTCTGCACATATGATGACCTCAATATAACAATTGGGCTCATCAGAAAGGGGAAGAGAATGTATTCTGTTCAATCCAGAACTCGCTGGTTTCCCCCTTTCGGATTGGGTATGTACCGGGTGGTCCAACAAGCCGATCTCTCGGCTATATATCAGAAACTATTCATGTTATAACTTTAGGAGAAAAAATTTCTTAGTAAAAGTGGCCACGAGAAATCGCTGGAAATAACTTTCAAATTTCTGGGTTAACCGCTAGGGGGCGAAACCTGTGAAGAAAAATTTGAAAACCAGTTTTTTGTGAAATATGACCAATTATACCAAGTTTTAAATACGTAAACTAGAAAGAGGCCTAAATTCCGCACAAAGTTGTTCAGGTACTTTTCTACCTACCGTTTCTATTAAGTTTTGATAAAATATGAAACAAAAAGCTTTTGAAAATATTCATATATAAAAAATTAAGTGAAGATATTTTAGAAATAGTGTATCAAAAACTGATCTATATATATTCTTGTTTCAGGTATTTCTTCAAAACTATATGTGAAGAACTTGGCAACCAAGTTATCCAAGAGGAAGTCAGTAATGATGCAGAGGTACTTCCATTATGGGAAGGTAAAATAATGGCCCAAGTGAAGCCAATCGACTGAGTTTTTACGTTATTTTCTAACGGTTACTAAAAAACTATTTACGAGTAATAAAACCTTTTTTTAACCATCTATTTACTTATACGGATTTTTTTAATCTTTTTGCAAATAATTTATTTTTTTCGTTGTTGAATGTTTTGATTTTTTTATTTAAAAGACGAAATTTTGTATTATATATTCATGAATATGCCACGTTAGTGTAACATCACGTCATCTTATAAACAAAGTTGGTCTTTATATAAAATTGTACGCTTATATTTTAAACTATTTTTATACATTTATTTAGCATACTATATTGCAATAGTATTTTTTTCAAGAAAAATAAACATTCTATTAGTAAAAATGATCGTTATTTTAAACTAACGAATTGAGCCTCATCTTTTTGACGAGAGTTTGATAGATTTCTGTGACTTTCCTTTCATTATTTTCCTTGAACTTGTAAAAGCACTTTTATTAATTTTTATTTATTGCAGGGAATTATAAATTAATATTAACTTTTGAACGTCTTCTTCTTTATGTCTTTTTTTGTACCCATGTGTTAACTGGAGCTATTTTTTATCCTTCTTAGTATTTTCATCTCTGCTATTTCCATTATTCGTTTTGTTCTACTTGTGTCTGAGTAATTTTCTACACTGTATGTCACATTGGAGCGTCTTCTACACCCTAGTTTTCATATCTATATCGAGATGTTTATTTCTCAATATAATGTCATTTAGACAGCCAGCTACTTTATTAGCTTTTACAGCTTGGAGTCTTACTTTATTTTCGATGTTGCTCGTTCTTGATATCTCTATCCCTATGATAGATATTTCAAGCTCATTGTTTGTTCCATCACTTTCCCGTCAACTTCGAATTTACATCGCATCGGTTCTCTTACAAATGCCAAGCATTGTCTTTTTTCGGTTGCTATTGTCATATACAAGTTGTTTTCTTTTGTGTTAAAATGATGCAAAATCCTCTGAGATCAATCCTCTACAAGAACAGCATCGTCTGCATAACTATGATTTTCACCTCCAAATTTCCCATTTTATATTCTCATTTGCACAATTTCATTATTACATTATCCATAATAATATTAAATAGTAATGGGCTTAATGCATCACCTTATCTGATTTCATTGTATACTTTAAGAGATTCTGTAAATCCCCCATTTACTCGCGCTTCCTAAAGCCAGCTCAGCGAGGACAGAAACCTCGCCTAGAGCAAAAGCTCGCTTGATCTTGATGTTCGGTATGCATAGGAACTGGAAAAGTACAACCTATCGATCCTTTTGGCTTGATGAGGTGTCAGAAAAGTTACAACAGGGATAACTGACTTGTAGCGGCCAAGTATTTATAACGACGTCGCTTTTTGATCCTTCGATGTCGGTTCTTCCTATCATTGGAAAGCAAAATTCGCCAAGCGTTGGATTGTTCACCCATAGTAGACAGGGAACGTCAGTTAGTCTTAGACCGTCGTGAGTTAGGTTAGTTTTACCTCAGTTATGACTCGTCGTTGCGATAGTAATCCTGCTTAGTACGAGAGGAACTGCAGGTTCGGTCATTTGATTAACGCACTTACTCGAGCGGGTAATGGTGCGAAGCTACCGTCTGTGGGATTATGCCTGAACGCCTCTAAGGCCGTATCCTTTTTAGTCAAAGGTGGCAACGATATCTCTTGGAGTTCCGAGAGTCAAAAGACTCAAAACAATGTGAGTTTACTAGGCAATCGTAGTTCGCTACGATTGCCGCACTAGCCCTTATTTCCGTTGAGATTATCGGTTGATAGTGGGATCGATCCTTGCCAGTAGACCAGATCTTTAGACGGACGAACATGGGTAGTATAATTTTTTTGATGTTGGAACTCGAATTATCTGTTTTATCTCTAAGTGTTTCACTAAGTTCTGCGGAATTACCCTATACGAATTTTTGAACGTTCCCAGTTTAATTTCCAGATAGTTTTGAATTTTATTTTTCTGGTTATCATGACTGTTATGAATTGTTGCTTGTATCTGATCTAAAAAATGACAAAAATAGATGTTTTTTTAGGTTGATAGTTGTCATTTTCGCGATATATCTGTAATACCATAAATTCAGCATAAGGTACTTACACCAAAACACTTTTTACTAACTAATTTTTACAACAGGAGATGAGATGTCACAAGACGTTATCATCATCCTATGGGACTACGGCTCTTTTGCTCTCATTTTGGAGTCTTTTGGACTTTTCCCGGGATTCCTACTTCTTCCATCATTTGTCAGTGCCTTGTTAGCTCGAGGAAATATGATTTCTCTCTCAATCATACTATTATCAGTTTTCCTTGTCCATGCTTTTACTCTACGGTCCACAATGGATAGGAGGAGGAGTATCACCGAGACGCAAGCCCTTATCTCTTAACGTACTGCTCCATCATAGGCCGATCAGACATCAGCATATTCCAGTCTAAGCCGCAGATTCATTTAGAATTTTAAACTGCTGCATTAGCCTTTTTTTTATTTTTCTGTACATCAAGTCAGAGCTTGAACGCACATCCACTTAACAATTCGACAGTGAAGCGAATGAGAGTCGGCTGCCTGACCCGCTTGGCTATCTGACCACAATAGATACCTAGCTTAATAAAGTCAAGGGTTTCGAGATGTAGTAATTACAAGAGGATATCGAGCATTAGCTGAATGAATAGAGCACCAAACCGTGTTAATTAGAATGAAGGAATCATAAAAACCATACCAAAATATCTAGTGATTCAAGGAAACATATTCGGAAGAAGAAATGTGTCCAGAAAAAAGAATATCTTGGCTAAAAACCTGACCTGAGATAGTGGTAGGCACTAACAATTGAATTTGTTTTCCAGGTAGCATTTAATAGGGTAATCGTCGGCAATATGATAGCTAATGTCTGCTAAATGGATGCTAGACTCAAAAAAGAAGATCTACATATATCGAGGAATTTACAACGCAGTTTGAACAATATAGCTTAATTATCAAGGTGTTTGGGGATCGGAAATATAATAGCTAAGGTTTGCAGCACTCCACTTATTTTTATGTAGACATGACCCTATCTGTTTTTTAATGTGCCTCCAGCAAGTTATCGTTCCGTGGTCTTCCCACTGATCGTCTTCCTATTGGGAGGAACTTTCTCCACCTTGCATTTACGTCGTCTATCTGTACTTCTAGCTCTGTCCCATAGTGTCTTACCATCGATTTTTCAAGGGTGTTCCGCTTATATGTTTCTCTATATTTTTATTTCTCCACATTGTTTCATACAAGAACTACCTGTATTGCGGAATTTACAACGCAAAGGTTATTTTAGATCTTTGGCTGATCGTAGACCTTATTATTAGACCTTATTTTCTTTAAACATTGATTTGACGTCATGTTGCGGTAAGATTTTACCATAAAGCTTTGACTTTTTCCCAACATGCATTATGTCCCAACTCGTTTTATAGATTTTTCAACTTTTCTCTCTAATATTTTACTTAGCTCATCTCTTTTTTTTCCTTGTAAGAATGACGTTATTGCAATATATTATCACAAATAAATTCACAAAAACAATTTTAATCAATAAATTTTTACTGAAATTTGATATTCATAGTGACGTTACTCAAAAATGGCGTATTCCGTAATTCAGGCGTATCGAAATAGCACTAAGCTACAATGGGAATATTTAAATTTAAATTTGTGTAATTTTTATATAAAATTTGCCCTTGCTTTAATTTCTTAAGAGGTTTCATACGATATATCGCTTTGTTTAATATCGTATTTGAATACTGCTGGTGTACAGTGCAATTTACATTACATTACAGTGGAATTGCCATTTTTTAAGTCAAAGAGGATCATGTTAAAAGAAAACCTTTTTTTTAAACAATCACCAACATTATTTTTAGTTTATTGTCCACGATTTTGTTAGTTATAAATATTTGCTATAATATGGACTTTATACCCGCAAAAAATGAACAAAAAAATGCACGTCCCTCTTCATTAATTATTAGCTGGTCATTATACTTGTAAAAATGTGATACACAGTGACGCACCTAGAATTTTTCTATGGGGGGGGGGGTTTGGTTGGGCACCGAAATTTTTATGCTACCTCTATTTTGAGTCCTCCAATTTGTAAGTAACAATGTCGGAATAGCGACCTGGGGGGGGGTTTAACCGCAAAACCCCCGGGTGCGCCACTGGTATAACATAAAATGAACTGCGTCCTACTATCAGAGGTACCAATAATTTAATTATTGGATATTTGTTTCATTGTATTATTATTTAAGGCAATTTACAGTAATTTATCCATCAAAGTGAACAATTTGAATGAACTAACTTTAAAGCACTTGTTTGTTTAAGTGTTACTTGAGTTGACATCGATTAATTGCTATAGTTTTTATTCTAAGGTACAAAAACTAATCTATTTAGTTCATTTTAATGTCTAGATAGTAAAAAAAAGTTTTCTTTTAACGTGAATCCTGTCAGTAATCCATACTCTGTATCAGTGAATATATTATACTGCCAATGATTCTTGAAAATAGTGCGAAAAAATGCGGTCTATTTAAAATTACTATATCTGCCTAACATTGAAACACCCAATAGTCATAAGTGTATATTATTTTCTAGAAGGAAAATAAATTACTGAACCGAGCATTTCTGTAAATATGCGAGTCTCAAAACCAAAAATATAATAAATTGGAAGAAAAGTACAAACAAAAAAAACTTTATAAGAGGAGAGAAGTGTCTTCAAATATATTAAAGCAAAAAATAGTATTGACTAAATACATCTTATTTAATTAAATCGAGATTTTCTATATGGTATTGATGTTTTTATTTGTATTTATAAAGAAATGGAATTAGGTAATGTGAATATTGTTCTGAAGCTATTTTCTTATGGCATTTTAGTGCAATTACTATTTTTATTGGGAATAAGCCACAATTTAAGTGTAAAATAAATACAAAATACAAAACGAATGTATTTTGAGAACGATTGCTTAGTGGAAATTGAAATGTCAAAAATTAAACTTATTTTATACTTAAATT